GAAAATGTGAGAAATGCCGATATTTTAATTTTTAATGTTGAGACATGGTACATGTTTTCTTACATTTATATCCTATTCTATAATTTTTCATTCTTCATCACTGTCAGACGATGAATCTATTAATTCTTGCATTATAAGTGCTACTGCTGTTAATATTACTTTTTTACGATCTTGTTTCGTTTTTATTAGCAGAAGCGCGCTACCACGCTATGCTATTGTTGTTCTCGGAGCTTGTAAACGCTAACGCTACAAACACACTACCTCGGAAGGTATAGCGTTGATAGCGCGCAGTTATGACGTATCACACTATCATTAATGGCATCATAATTGCGTTTGGTAGCACTACCAGCTAGCTCCGCGAACAGTCGATAGCACTAAATAGCGCTAATAGCGTCTCCTCGAACGCACTCTAAGTGAGTGAAAAATTAGAAAGAAAAAAAATGAAATAGGAAAAGAAAAGAATGTGTTGCATTTGAAAAGAGACAGATTCTTGTAGGAGAGAAAGAGAAAAAGAGGACAATAGTCTCTCTCATATCGAGTGACGACGATATGGCGAAAGATAAGATTTGAGCATACACCATCGTAAAAGTCGAAAGACAATTGCACATACATGATAAACGTCGCATATGCCTGATGTAAATATTATTATGAATATGAGGATGGACCGTCGTGACTGAGGGAAACGCTGGGAACGGAACGCGGAGCGGCACGGCGCGGCGCGGCAGCACGAGTAAATAGCAGCGGATCAGCTGATGAGGCACAACACAACACAAGTCAGTCAGTGGAAGAAGAGGAAAGCTCATTGTTTTCCCGCTGCTGCTACTGCTGCTGTTATTGGTTATGGCGACGAGTAGCTCCGACGGCTCCTGCACGGCGCCCGCTGATTTTCAGCTTTCCTCCGAGTTGGAGGACGCGTCGAGTCGCCTGAGCATGAATCTACTCAAGTGCCCGTTGTGCCATAACAGCCGTCGGATTTTTTATTGCCGTCAGTGCGTCCAAAACGGCGATTTTATACACTCAAACACCGTCTACTCAGAACGGTGCGTTTGGTGCTTTTTGTCATTAGTGACGAGACAATTTCGTCATCTTTTCCTGCAGCTTTCTAATCAACTGTTTAATATTTGATCAAATTTTGTGTAAATTTTTGAAACGTATGTCTAAGAATACAAATATTATAGTTATTTAGTATGACATTACTTTAGAATATGCTCTAACTATAGTTATAATTACTGGCGATGTTGTTTAGGTTTGCGGATAAACAGATGCGGCTTGTACGATTGAAAGCTGCAAGAGCACAGTTAGAGGAGAAATGCATGAAGGCTCTCGAAAGACATAAGCAAAAAGATAAGCTGGTACTGTAAAAATAAGAAGTAATCTTTATTTGTAGATTAACACTGTTGTCCACATAAAGGAGTAATGGATGATTATTTGTACATACACATTTATCTTAATGCATGATTACAACAAAGTTTTTTGTGGACAATTGGTCTTTTTAATAATTAAATGAAAGCTATTATCATGCAATTTATATCACTACATTTTCGATCATGAATCACTGAATATTTATACAATTACTCAGCAACATAATATTTCACAATATTACTTAATATTTTATTTCTTAAACATTTATTTTCAGATTTGTGATATAAATATATGTAAGGAAAGAGTGAGACTACTTCAGTCTCTAGTAAATGAGACAAGGCAGAGCATCAATAGAGGTTTAAACATTGCATTAAAAAAAATAAATATATATATATATATATATATATACTAGCAATTTTTTATTTATTTACTTAATTTTGTTGTACATAGGTAATCAACGTTTGAATGTTCTAAAAGATGTTAATTCTCAATTGACTTTGAGAATGCCAAAGCATGAGGAAAGAATAGATAAAATACATCGCTATGTTATTAGCTTGAAGGGTAAGCAAGAGAAACAGAAGGAGGCTGTAGATAGAAAACGGGAACAACTAAAAAAAGTTATCAGAACTGCTGCTAAGCAGTTAATTCAATACATTTTTCCATTATCTAAAGTCCAGCCAAATAGAAGGTATTAAAGTGTTAACATCAATATTTGTATTCAATATATATAAATATTCGAACGTGTTAATCTCTATTAAAATTTATTAGTTGTCTGTTTTATCCTCAAAGATTTTGCTAAAAGATTTATATAAATATTATTTATAGCTTATGTAGTAGTGAGGACAGCGATAGTGCTACTTCTGATATCGTCACTAGCGCATTAGCGGATGCATCGGGTACATCATACGTGCGAGGTAGATGGATTAGTGAAAAAGAAAACTCTTTGGAAATTCATCATCGTATAGTTGAACCAACGTTGCCAGCGACAGGAGACTACAGTGCTTACTCTCTCTGGGGTATGTGTATTTTATTTTCTCATTAATAACATTACATTTATAAATATATATTTATTTAGTTGCAGCGAATAAGGATGGCGTGCCAGGCGCAAACAAAGAAAATGCGATGCACAATCCAGCATATAATATCAGTGCTGCTTTAACTTATGCTACGCAACTAGTTAATGTTCTTGCCTATTATGTTAATATAAAATTACCGTACAAACTTACTTGTGGGTATGTATTAAAAGTTTACTTGTATATTCATTTACTTGTAATAGTCTGTCCCAAAAGTAATGAGACTAATTCTGGATTAATCGTTTTATTAAAAATAGGTTCAAATACACTTAATATTTTTCAAAGTAGGACTCTTGAGCGTTGACTCAATACAGTGGTTGCAGCGTTGCTGCCATTCTTTGTAGCAGCGCAGAAAGTCTTGATCTGAAATGTCTTTTAGAGCACTCGTCGCGGCTGCTTGGATCTTTTCAATTGTCTCAAAACGGTGTCCTTTAAGGCCGAATTTGAGTCTCGGGAACAAAAAGAAATCGGCCGGGGCCAGATCCGGACTGTACGGTGGGTGGGGAAGCGTTGACACATTTTTCTTGGCCAAAAATTCCCTCACTTTAAGCGATGAGTGACTTTGCGCGTTGTCATGGTAAAGAAACCAGGTTTTCGCATGTTCATATCTTCCGAAATGATACGTTGCACATCTGATTTCGGCAATCCCACCTTATCTGCGATTAACCTCACACTCAAACATCGGTCAGAATCCAAAACAGACTTCACTTAAGTCATATTGTCGGCAGTTCTGGACGTTGATGGGCGCCCTGAGCGTTGTTCGTCCTCCGCGTCTTCTCTTCTTTCTTTGAACGCCTTGTGCCACTTGCACATTTGTGCTTTCGACAAAGTCTCGTCCCCATAGGCTTGTCTTAACATTTCAAGCGTGTCGATAGCGGATTTACTGAGTTTGACGCAAAATTTTATCGCGTACCGCTGCTCCAAATTGCGCTGCATTTTTGACCGTGACGCGACCCTAAAACATCTTCACGCTTTGCTGGCGATCTGAATGTTGAAACAGCTCGGAGGCAATTGAGTTGGGTCAGACTGTATACCTGACATCCCCCACCAACCATTCCAATAAATCCATCCCCCGACCCTTCTGACTGGCCCACCAAAAATAGTCTCATTACTTTTGGGACAGACCATGTCCCACCATATATTTGTTCATCTGTCGTATAATAATTTTTATTTTTTAGCTCTAGATAATGCAAAGCACAATATTTAGTGATTTTGCAATGAACTTTTCTTCATGCATGTTCTCCTTTCAGGGAGTTTTGTGGAAATGAAATGTCGGACCAAAAATTTGCTAGGAAAGTAGCAAGGCTAAATAGTAATGTGTTACATTTATGTTTTACACAAAATACCGACATAGATGTTTTACATCCCATGCATACATTACAAAACCTAATGCACTTGCTCAATACTGAAATCAGTGACCTCGGAAGGTAATTCATAATAATTTCGTTATCTTCAACAGCAACAAATTCGTAAACTTTTATCAATTACAATATATCTGTGCATTGCGCGTTACAGAATTGGACCAATGGAGGTTGATCCATCTGTAATAGCACAACTTCATAGTCAATTAGTCCCTGATTTAGAAAATAGCGACGATTCAGCTTCCGACGAAGAAGATCTATGTTGGGGATGGGAGGCTGTAAGTTACACTTTTGCAAATTCTAATGGGAGAACATTATTAACACATATTTTTCTAACATTATATGTATATAGGTACCAAATATCACATGTCCCGAAATGGCAGTACCTACTTCTGGAACGATGGTCAGTCAGCAATCTTCTAGTATGCAAGTGCATCAGAGTGTCGCTGGTGGCTTGGTAACAAGTGCAGCGGCCAGTATCGCTTCAATTTGGCGAGGTTGGACTAATAAATAACTTTCCTTTTAATAAGTAAGTTTTTTTCTACATAAACATACACATGCACACACATTTCGAATTCTTCAAATCAAAGGACAGGAAAGATGCTTCGGAACAAACATGATATTAAAAAAAAAGTATATAATTTATATAATAATATTTATATATCGCGGGAATATAAAATATGATTTTAAATCAACACATGTAAATATAATAACTTTCTTAACTTACACTTACGACACATTCAAAGTAGTTCAAATACGCTGTGACAAATTTCGTTAGATCTGATATCTAACTTAGTTCAAATAGTTCAAATCTAAATAGAAGGATTAGTAAACGGCTGTTTAATAAATTTATCGACATTTTATATTTCAATGCACTACATATATATATATATATATATATATATATATATATATATATATATATATATATATAATAGTTTAGATTATGATATATAAAGATGGATATTGATGGTCTACAAAACAAAATGTATATTCATTAGCAGACATATATCTAGAATTTGTTATATAGTGGTATATATATGAGAGTGTGCAATGACTGCCTTTTCTATGCTCGCCGCATTTGATGTGATTATATATCCATACAAATTATGTTTATATTGAATATGCCATTATATAATATGTTTCATATTCTGAAATCCGTTAACATAATTAATATCAGAATTTTATTTTGTAAAAATCCTTAAATTTCTGAGATTGTATTCAATATCATTTAGCAACAATGCAATATTTTAATTGCAATATTAACGTAATGAATTTGCCTTTGAATAATATTGAATAAATTAGTATCAATTAGCACGTTAAACGAATATTACAGAAATATTTCAATAATTTGTGGGAAATGCACACGTTACATTATTTATAAGTGGCTATTATGTAGCATTGTGCATACTTTCTATAACATAACAAAAACAATATTCATTATTCATTTTATACTTAATAATGTAAGGAAGGGATATTGTACATTTTACTTTAATTGGATTTAATTATCTTAAGTATGTTAAGATGAGAGCATGATAAATAGAGTATTATAGTCATTGTGGAATATACGATCATCTGTGGAAAAGTAGCACACAATTTTACAGTGTAGGTAATTAATAGTTTTTTTTACAGTTGCATCTTTAGTCCAGCCAATCTACAATAATCTTACTTTATTTTTGTATAGTGCGTTGAATTTTATATTTTTTAAATAAAGAAATATTAATTTGTTCCTGACTGTCCGATATCCAAGATGAAGATGATTAATAAGTTATTCAAGTTAACACAAATATCAAAAACATAATCTATTTCATAATTTTGATGAGAATGTTTTTTATGCAATATCACGTCGTTAAACATTCAAATTTCTTAAGCTAATGTAAGTTATTTTTTAGACACTGTAAAAAGTAGAAATACGAAAAAATATATTGTGGATAGATAAATAGACCTATCTATTGTAATATTGCATAATTTTCTTATACATACATCCAATTTTCGGAATAATGTTATAGCATTTTATAATGACAGGTAGAAAGAGAATTTTACAAATAGACAAATTAAAATATTGGAATGTTGACAAATATAAATTTAACTAAACATGATTTAGCACAATTGTATATCTAATTTAGTGATGTACATCTAATTATTTCAATGTAATTGCTGTTCATAGCTTTAAAATGGCGTTACCAGTATGTTTCAAATTAGGCGCTTAAGTTTTAATATATAATAACCATTCGAATCACAAAGCGCAACAACTTAAATCACATTTTTGGTAATGTACAACAATACAATATGTTAAGTAACATAAGTATTGTATACATGTGTGGACATGCGTATGGAAGAATAATATACAATTTTTATCTTATTACCATAAAATGGCTATGTTTTATCTGAACAAAGATGCATTGTGATACTTCGAATAAAATAGGATCTGTTTTTTTTACTGTTATTGTTGTATATTTAAGTAATATCAATTAAGAAATCGCATACTTTTTAAATATACCAATAACGGTATACCATACCATTTTAGATCTTTTGTATCTTCTTCAATATTTTGGAATAAATATGTAAAAGTAATCTGCATTGCTGTATCCAATACAACACAAGTAAACGTATCGAGTACATAATAAATAAATAAATAAATAAATAAATAAATAAATAAATAAATAAATAAATAAATAAGTAGAGTACGAACATTTTTAAGTAAGGAATAGGAGTTTCCAGATAAATAAATCTGATATAATAGGAAAAGGAATATATAAGCATCGTTCTCCGTATTTTTATATAAAAAGCGGACAATTTATTTTGCTTACGATTGAATAAGATTGTTTTAACTGCATAAGAAATGAGATACAACCAAATGTGATATAAAAAAATCTTTTGAAGAGCCTGTTATGCATACAATCATACATCAATATCAATTAAACGCACATCAATTTCTACAGTTATATAATATGCATCATTATATGTGAATTATGCTATGCTTAGAACAAGTTTTCATTAAATCAATTGAATATGAATTTTATGTATAACAATTTATGGAAAAAATACATTAATCCTGAAGTAATCTTGTACTTCACGGACAAAACATTAGATTCTTAGTATAATAGTCAAGGGTAACTTTTTCTCTATGTAATTTTTAACATTCTTATATAGTTACCAATTACTTATATAACATAATTTCACAATATGATTTTACTTCAAAATTATGATTATCTGCTTAGGCTGATAAAATTTTATTAAAATTTGACACGTATTGAAGATAAATATGTATGTGCATGTGTACATATAAGCATGTATATGCGCACACGCACACGCGTATATGCTCAATGTATAAAAGAGTGTCTCACATATAATATTCGTTAAAAGAATTTTCGAAATCTTTCACCGTTTTCTCTTTGGCTGAAAGGAAAACGCTTTGTACAATGTGTTCCTTTACATGTAAATAAGTAATAGAATTTTTAGAAATATCAATCTCGTTTAATGATTCAATTACCACTCTGCACAGTCTCTGCTCACTCTCCACTTATGATTCTTGATGATAGATATCTCATTTTCATCACTTTCGGATTGGCCAGTCTATTGCAATTTCGTATGTATGAAATTGTATACATATTATGTGCACTAACTGCTCTGTGAATTCTGTAAGCACATCATTATATAGTATTTTAATTTTTGCATATACATCTTTCTGAAAGTTAAATATAATACATAGACTTGTTCCCATCAATCACTTTAATTATGCGTATTATGTACAGTAAATATAGACACACAGTGTGTGGACAATAATGTTGACGACAAGATAATAATATATTTAAAATAATGCTGCATTTAAATCACAAAATTTGGCAGTACACAACAGACGCTTATTGTAAGATCTTTTAATCTTCTTAATTCGCTCTATATACTTTAAACACAGCATAAAAATCTGTATTAATACTAAAGTTTTAAGTTTAATACATATTAACTTTCCCCTTTTTACAATTAAATAACAAAGGAAAACCAAGTAGGAGCCAATGTATAGAAAATTTAGCAATTGTTATTAAGCTTGGTCAGTGGGAATTAGATGTCTTTGGCAAACTTGTGCTCTAATTCAATAGAAGAATGAAAAAAGGCATAGACTTCACATAACACACACACAGCAAGAGATTGAGGAATTCGTGACAGCTAATAAGAGTATACAATATTAATTTTTTTTAAATCCATTAATAAAGATCTTTTGATCTAAAATTGAATAAACATGTGTTTAACTGTTTTTACTATGCTATGAAGAAGGTGTTGTATGCTGCAATAATAACAGATTAAAGAAAATAAGATAATCGAGTACAGATATTCAAAACAAGGAATTCTTTTTCTTAATGCTGCAGATAGTCTAGCATTCGAAATAGATTAATATAATAGCTGAATATATAGGAAGACTGCTATCTATTTGATGCTAAATTCTGCAAAAAATTTACAGTAAAATGACTATATAAGCATAATTAGGGTACAAAATGATTGTAATAGTAGGATATATGACATTAAAGAATTTTCCAATGATAGAATTAATGATTAAAATTGATTATGATTGATAGTGAACACTATCCTTATAATAAATATAAGATCACAAAAAAAAGAGTGTCATAGTTTCCCCACTATTACAATTGTGCCAATTGAATTCAATTAAAACATAACTGATGCAATAATAAGATATTAATAAAATACTACTTTTTCGTTTTTATGAAGGCATATATTTTACACAATTTTTGTTTCAATAGTCCTATTTTGTATAATACAAATATTAAAATATTTGAAAAAAATATATAGTAAATAATAAGAGTGAAAATCACACAAAATTTTCTCTATATTTAACGGTAAATAAGCAATGTTTGCATTTTGTATGTAGTTACTATTTTTTTCAAGCATCACGAAGTGTTCAATAGATTATATTCAATGTGCAGAATAGAACTATATATGTAAAAAAATGTATTACTACAGAAAAATGATAGCCTATAATAAAATTTCAACTCAAACTTCTATAAAATAAATGATTTACATTAAACTATGTAAATAATCAGTTCAATCATTATTACAATCATTATTTATTTGCTATCAAATTAAAATTGTGTTGTTGCACTGAATATTTAATTCTTGATTTAAAAGCATTAGTATAGTTCTACAGATTGTTTGCAATATGAATTGGTAACATATATTATTAATATGAGCTTTATATCATCATTACTAAGTGGCACGAAAAAGTTTAGCGAAAGATATTCAGCTATCAAACTATTTTTATAAATAATCTAGATATCCTATAATGCTTCTCTAGCTAGACTTTAATTACTTCAGGAAATTATAAAGCTTTATTACATATCTGTGAATTCACAATCTTTTAAAAATCTAATATTTTATCTAATTTAATACGATAAAAACTAAATCGATTAATAGGACGTGAAAATTCGTAAGGTTTCCACAATAAGCCATTCTGTTCGGATGATCTGAAATGCGTTGAATCTTGACAACGTTAATAATAATACAAGAAAGATTTTGTTTAGATTTATCAAAAATAATTATGTGGATTATTTCAACGCGTTGCAGTATCACTCATTTAGGAAAACTCATCATGAAACTTTGTGTACTTCCATGCCTTATTGATTAGACTCAAAACAAAAAGTTTGAAATACTAAAAATATATTATCTTCATATTTTTTTCCGTTTAATGAGATATTGTTAGTAAAAATAGAGTTACTTCATTCTCTTGATAAGTTTTATATTTCTAATATATTACTTTAAAACGATAATAGATTGTGTAACTTTGTTAATTTCAAGATATTCCTTTTTACAACCAGAAACGGTAATAAATACTTTGGTACATGTATACTTCATCGTACGAGGATGGCCTTGATGTATAGTTTCCACTTTATTCCAAAGTATGTATATATGGAAAATGATTATAGAGGTCAAAGATAAATGGGTTAATGTTTGATATGCGTTATTCCATTATTCACAAAGCTATTTATCTATTTATACACATGTATTGGTGCTAAAACATACAGATCAGGATTATGCATTATTTTGTACTCTATTAATATATAGAGTAAAATTGTATACAATATTTTGCATCGCAGATCCGATAATACATTTATTATATTCTCCAACGTACATTAAATAATACGTCTTATAAACTGTTATTAAATCTATTCTGTACTGAAATATAAAAGTTTAAAAATTGATATCTTTTTATGTATTATGATAGAATAATCAAATCATATAAAGTTTATAGAAATAACATAATAAGAAACTAAACTCAAGGCCTCCTTGCTAAGTGTTATAAGTTCACCTTTTATTTTTAAATTACTTGAAGAAAATATCAATACACAGTTTTTCAGACACAACTTTTCTGTGTATATACAGGATTGATAATTTTAAAACTAAACGATCAGTTTTCCTACTCTTCTCATATAAAAGTTCTGCATTCTATGAAGTATACTGGATTAATAATTTCATAAACATCGAAAACTAATTATAAATGAAGAGTAGAAAATACCGATCACAGAAGTAAATATATATTTTGAACGCTAATTTCCTAGATCTACAAAAATATATAATTATGTATAGCAATATTATGCATTTTTATCAACATGGCAAGAGGACACGACAGAAATGCTATACTAAGTTCTTATTAAGTTCGATGAAAATTTCGCTTCATGATGTATCACGTATGTATTATAATACAGAAATTTTTGTACATTGTTGAGGAAAGTACATTCTTGATGAAGGTAATGCTAAACTTTGTTCGCATGTGAAAGAGCGCCATGCAAGCGGTATAAAATGTATAATAGTTATTCTATTGTGCAAACTTCACAATATGATTAAATATTTAAGGATTCCGTCCCTTTAAAATATCTTCAAATAAATGCATACATAACATATTATGCTTTCTACATTTTTTACATATTTATATTATATTAAAACTTACACCTTTATTAGTTTTTATATTATCTGGTTTTCCCGTTTTTTTTTTTTATTTCAGCTTATGCATTCTACGTCTAATTTTTAGTGTAATATCTATTTAATCCTCTGCTTATAACTGTAATATAAACATTCTTTACTCCCTGAATAAAAAAGAAATTTATAAAATCGAACAATAATTATTATAAAAAATTGTTATATGAAATAAAAAAAATTTATTGAATAATTGGGATTATTTGTAAACTGTACGACTTTACATTTTCTCTTGAAATATGCCATCAATGATAAAAACGTTTTCTTGCATGTGTAAAGTGTTTGTTCGACTTCATTCATACTCTAAGTAAAATATAAGAATGCATTATTATAATTGAAAATAAAAGTAAGTATTCATACAATTATACTTAGTCCCCTCTGTGATTGATATTTTACTTGTACTATTACTCCATTAAAATTATTAACTGGCTTAATTTGCAAATAAATAATTTGCACGAAGTAGTGGAACTTAATTAAGTAAGCACGTTCACTGTCAATGCAGTATTTAAGTTTCAACTATATTTTTTCCTCACAATTAAATCTTATGAACTTTTTGAGAGAAATATTTCTCCTACAGACAAATCCATAATCCCAAAAGCTGTTTTAATGGCTGTCATAATTGCTAAAGTTATGATGGATAAGGAAGTTTTTATATAGCTTGAGTTTTTAAACAAATATTACAGACACATAGATAGAAACACTTACAAAAGTATATAATATTTAATAAATTTACTGCATAATATTTAATTAATTAATTTGCATACTAATTTATGTTGCCAATATCATGATTTTCTTTGTAAAGGTCTACTAATTATACGATTCATGACAAACTTAATTCTGTCAAGACTCAGTTTATAATACAATTTTGCAATTTTTCTTTAACATTGATAGGATTTCCTCACATTAAGGATTATTATTCAAATAAACGTGTAAGTTCTGCATCTTTATATGAATGTTTTGTTAAGAAACATGTCTTATTATTATAATTACATGTACATGTACATTTGATGCAGCATAGAAAAAGATTGAGGGTTAGTTATGTCAAAGGGATATATCCAACACTTACACTATACGCTTTGCTGGGACATATTTCCCGAAACACTTTCTCGATGAAGGGTTGCCTGGAAAAAAAAAGATATAAGACTGCATTATTTCACATTATTAAATCTCCTTTCTTTTATAAGTGTGAGTGCCGATGTATACATTCAGATGCATTTAGAGAAGGTCAGGTATAAAATTATTGGGCTCTCAAGACAGAAATCTAATTATATGCTGGAATCTAGCCAAATTGGTAGAAAACTGTCGACTGTCTGTTGTGTTTGTTGGTAGTAGCAACGTTAACATGACAGTGATCTCATTGCAGAGAGATGATAAGAAGTTTATAACCATTTTTCATTGACCAAAATGCATAATTACATGCTACTTCAAAATATATTCTTAAAAACAATTATATATGTAAATATATATGTGTTATGTAAGTATGATTCATCTTTCCTATTATTAAAATTATATAATGCTCGATTGTACAAAAACTAACTCTTAACAATAGTCTGCTCTACGAATATATTTGAAAATTTGAAATATTTTTACACTCTATATTCGGGGATACTTTAATATTAAGATTATATAGATTCTTGTTAAAATTGTTTTAATATTTAAACTCACTTAGCATAAAGACCACCACCAGGAGGTAGGTAAGGAAAGTCTTGGTCGCTTCCTCTAAGAAGTTCAAGCATTTTTTGGTAGTCAAATTCGTCCTTATCCTCCTCTTGGGCAACGATTTCTACAAATACAGAAAAAAGGTATTAAAGCAACTTGTATTCTCATTATTAGACAATAAATTTACATCAGATATCAAAATATAAATGACATAATAGTTAATTATATATTTTTCTTATATTATGTGCAATTTTAAGTGCTGTTCTGCAAGTGTATGCTTAATGAAATGTGCTTAATGGGTGTAATTCAATATTTTATGACTTGGATTTTCCATAGATGTGTTTATAGCAATTATCTGCTTTCTATTAGAGCCACTATCATTTTATGCATTCATGTGTAATTATAAGTGTGCATATCCATTCTCTTATTAATAACATCATAATCTGTAAGAATAATATAAACTATGCTATGTTTATACACACTAATATTACGATGACACTAATGACAAAATGTTATAATGGTTCTTTACATGCAATTTTTCAAAATACTTGTAGACATAATAACTGTAATTAACAATAAAATGTAATTAGTAGATATATCGCAGTATGCACATGTAACATAACAATTTCGCATAACATGCATCTACTTAGGACTGGAAGAATAAATCTTACATTACATTTCTTATGGAAACATATTCCTGTCTTAAGTAGATACATTTTAGTTGAGTTTTCAACAAAGTCAATGCATGATGCAAACGTTGTCCACCTCTGGAATTGTATGCCTTTGTACACTACTTGTGTACATATTACAAAAAAAAAAAAAGATAATTAATTGCAATGTTCCTCCATAAGAAATGCATTGCTATTAGAAATGATATCAAAAGTGTATAATGTTAGATTCTTGTAAGAAAATTTGCACCTACCTTGTGATACGGTTTAGATGAACTTTAAAAAGAGGAACACAAACAAGAGAAAAACGACTTTCTTTCATATAATATACTTTCTATTTGAAAAATTATTTAGCTTTAGATTAATTTATCAACTCCAAGGGTGGAACGCATCTTTTAGCAATAATAACTTCTCATAATGTTTATTAATAACTTATGTCATTACATGACAAGATAATGTACGTTTTATGGTACAGATTAATTTCTTGTTTTTAAAATAATAATATAAAACACTTCGATTTTTTTTATCGTAAATAGGGCACAGAAGTTTTTAAGATTTTACAGTAAATATAGCATCGATGCAATACTTTTAATCAACCATGTATGCAAAGTTATTATCAAATATTTTCTGATAACATACTGTAATTATTTTTCTTACACGCGGTTTGCATCTTTTTATGTTTTAACATTATTATATATTGCGCAATTAGACATACATATATACATACATATTTATTATATATATGTATCTTTGTATGTATGGTGTTGTTCGTGTGCGTGTGTGTGTTTAAAGCTTTGCAATTTACATATTTTTATAATAGTTAATATTTAGAAAACAGATATATTGTTATCATATAATTTTCCTTAATAAATCCTTATATTCATTTGCACATAACAAACTTTGACACATATAACACAAGTTAGTAGTTTTTAAACATATGCATGTTGTCACATTAGTTAGATATTCACAATTTCAATAACGTAAGGTTTGACGACAAATTTATTTAAACGCATGGGTAATTGCATCTGTTTTCATATCGTATACGTATCACGTATCCCGCTTTTAGTTATCTAAGAGTGATCAAATATTTCTATTGAAAAGATCATGAAAAATTAGGAAATAACAGATGCAAAATAATCAAAATTAACATAAAACTCCAAAGAATATGCATTTTCTTATAACACTTAAGACGATATGAGACATTAATTTTTTTTTATGACTTGAGATGTTTTATGTGACATCAAATTTATTAATCACAAAATGTAATGTTAAAAAAAACCACACATTGCATGGCTATTATTATATATAGTTTGTACAATTGATTGCAAGCTTTAATATTTACATTTGTTTAAACTCACAATTGAAATTAATGCATCAATATTTAAAGAATTTAGCTTATCATTGCTATGCTTCTTAAAATACAAAAAAATATTTTTTACACTTTTGTAAAAGATTGCTTTTGTAATTACCAGTTATTTCTTGTAGCATATATATTGTGTAAATAAAATAAAATAAAAAATAAAAAAGCAAAAGAAATTATACATTAATTATACTATTCTTTAAAAAAAATAAAAAAAATAAAACTTAATCAAATTAAATTAAGAGTATTTTTAAAATATAGAATACTATTTTTAAAAATTTTTTATATTAATTTTTAGAATATAACACATCATCTTTAATACTGCAACAATACTGATTTTTAATAACAAAATGTTTCGAATTATTACTTGTGACAAACTACTTTAATTATTTAACAAAAAAACATATAATTATATGTTCTAGTGCAAACCATTACAACTATTTCAAATTATATGTTGTTTAAGTTATTTTCTATTTTATCTTATTAAACTACAATATTTGCAACATTATGGATCTTTAAGAATAAATAGAAGAATGTATATTACTCTATAAAAACAGACTAGATCTCTCATGTGTAATAACTTTCATAATAATAGTAATAATTCTACAGTTGAAAGGCTATTATTTTTAACTTTGGCACTAAGCAAATTCCTCATAGTAGTGCACATTTCCATTAAATATTTATATGAATTTATATTTATATATATATGCACTCAGAAGAATTCGTCATTATATACTTATACTATATACAATCAAAATATTAATTTACTATATCTCTTTAGTGATGTGTATGGCATTGTGATCTTGAATTAATGCAACAACAGAAAGAATATAATGGATGTAAATATGGAAAAGTTAAAGAACCTTTAATTCTCCTTTCTATAGCCATTTCCAACTCAGCTTCCTGCCTCTGTGCTTCAGGATTTGGTTTTGGTGCAGCTGGGAACGTCACCAGAACTATACTCATATTATCTCTGCTACCCTGTAATAAAATGTCAAATTGGCCTGAATATACACTCATCTAACAAACATATTGATTATCGTGGCAAAAAACAGAAAAGTGTAATATTTATTTTTACATTATAATATTTAAAAACTGTAATCATGAAGGAAGCTAACAGTACACCTTAGCATAATGCACAAGGAGTAACTAATCTGTATATTATTTAATGAACAATTTACACAGTTTAATTCTGATATATTTTTTATCCTTTAATATAGCATAATAAACATAAAAAGTAATTGATTTCAATAGTGTAAGCTATTTTACAATAATAAATATATAAAAATACAGCTATATACCTTATAAAGGCAAGTGTCTACAACCAGATTGGTAACTGCTTCTAAATCATCAGTAAGCAGCAGCCTTGAATGTATAAAATTACATAAATCTTCGTTGTTCATTACATCCCAAATGCCATCACATGCTAAAACTAGAAACTCATCGTGTTCATCATCTCTCTCTCGCACGAATATTTCTGGTTCTGGTGATACTAATTGCTCACAAGGGCCTCGATCTTTTAAATTTTTGTACTCATAATCGCCCAATGCTCTGGAAACAGCTAGAGATCCGTTAACTCTTTGGATCATTACGCTACCACCTGCATTCTGAATTCTCTCCTTTTCAGCAGGTAAAACAGGCTTGTGATCCCGCGTCGAGAAAACTGGAATTCCAGAGCTACAAAGTACTGCCCGAGAGTCACCGCAATTGGCAATATAAATATTTTTAGGTGATATAAATGCGCATACTGCCGTAGAACCGGACTTGTCCGAACCAGAACTCATCTCAGGTAAATCTCTCATTTCATCATCGAGTCTAAGGAACCCGGAATGAATACCTTTAATAACATCCTCAGCTTTAAATTCCTTCGTTTGCATTATACATTCTAATAAGTGTTCCGCACTGTGTGCTGATACCAATGCGCCTGCATGACCATCGAATACTGCAAAGTAGCTCCAATCTGAGAGACCACCTTCCAAACAGGGAATTGCTCTGTGAGCATCCTCCATTTCCATCCGCCAGCCCTGCATACTGGCAACACCATACCGCAAACCATTGCCAGTGCCATGTTCGTTACACTTTTCTGTTTTTGGAGTATCCAAAAATGCCCCCATATTACTTGATGTATATTTGTTGTATTGGCTAATTAATTTGTTCCTCACTATATTATTTGATCAGCATCATTCCTACTGATCTGCAAAATGGCACTTGTTTTGCTTTTACCTAAAATCAAAAGCATTGTTGTATTACAGTAGAATTGTAAGTCCATATTATTGTTTTTCCAACATGTTTCAAGGATCTCAGCAGATGGTAAAACGAATTAATTCTACAAACGCGTTTCGCGACAAACTCGAAAGGAATTTGGACATTGCTCGACAGTGACGACACATCGATAACGCGGGTCAAGTAAACTCTACCTCGCGAATACGATATGCAGGAAAGACCGAGGTGAGAGATGCTCGTAGAGATTTGCCGCGCACGGCGATGAGTGCGTTTCGCGGTGAGACGTCCGCGGTATATAGACGCGCGTTATTGCCGGTGTGTGTAAATCTATCGCTTACGCCACGCGTAGTCACGCATTATGTGACGATGATGTACGCCACACGGGTTTGTCACAGGATTTCGCACGATATCGTCCGCGACGAATACGTATGTAGCCGCAGTGTCCGCGCGCTCATGTCGCTCGACAACGTTGAGCGAGAAACCTCTTATTTGGCAACGGCGAATTTTCGCGACTAAAATAGTTTACGCCGCTTGCTCGCACGGCTCTTGCGCGCGGCTGGCTCGCTCGGCAAACGAAGAACTTACGTCGGCGGACCGTGACCAAGTATCATCGTCGCTTTCAGATACTAAACGGGGCGCGTGCTCGAACTAACTGCCGAAGCTGCCGTCACTACTGCGTAGTATATCGCAGTATATCCGCAGAGCTAATGCACTTGCATTGTGTTTTTCTCGAGCCGCGCGAATATATCACCGTCACACCACGTCTCGTTCGGTCCTGGCTGGCTGGCTGCCTGCTCGTGCCTGCACACACAGAGAAACAACGAAATCGACTCCGCATGAATGGCGGATACACACGGCGATCGGCGTGGCGCGCGTGCGTCAGTTTATTAATAGCGGTCCGCGCGCGGTCGTCACCGCCGGCCAATCGACACCGTGCGATTTCCGTTCAAGCCTGGCCGATATCGCGCTTTATAGGATATCGCATAGAGGTAAAATTAACTCTCGCACGCGCGATACTGGAATTAACTCGCGAACTCGACTAAGTGTCGCACGCGCAAACGAACGTTACGCGCGATATTTCGCGACCGCGAAATTTTGCATAGTCACTGATATTTATTCGCGGCGTTAATTAGCGCGTCACGTCGCGCGCGATCGATTCGTCCGCGGGATCACTTGGGTGGATCACGCGGTCCCGGAGCACGTTTCACGGTCCATATCATATCGGATCAGTTTATTGATCGGCTAATAGCCGATGGGAATTCCGCTACGGCGAGAGCATCAACGGGTCATTGGATTACACGTTATTACACCTAGATACACTCCATTAATCTGCGCTTCTATCGCCTCTATCTATATAAACGGCGCTCGTTCGGCGATTGAGGCAAATAACTCATTGATCATCTCGTGCGCAGCTCCGTTCTCGTCCGGAAAAATTCGCGCAATATTCCGAGGAGCATATTGCACGACCTAGTTTTCAATAATTGTGAGAAAGTAGAACGTAACAGCAGGCGTTCGAATCCATGTGATTCAGAAGTTTTCCCCGCGCAACGCATGCGCGGAAATCTAAACTGAAACGCGGAAATCGCTAAATTAATGTTTATAAAATTAGTGAAAAAAGTTGCGTTATTATTTTACAATTTATACAATCTATGCTCGTTGAAAAATTCAAAAAAGATTTTTTACAAAGATTTGGACAAAGGTTACAAACTGCAATATTTTTTTAATAATGAGAGAAGGCAGATTGATAGAAAAAATTAATTTAATCTTTCAACAAAGGGAGTGCTTGGAAAAAGAGTTTACAGAACGCACTTTGTAATTGCGTTGTTTTGCAATAAATAAATTTAAATAGATTTCTAGCGGAAATGGCTCAAAAAACAATGCATCGCGTAACCAGCGCGTGCTAAGCAATTACTTTGTTTTGATACGAAGCCGAGATCTCTAGGAATCATAAACTGTTTGACCACGTCATTTGTTATTTTACATTTCGTCTCTTGATGCGCAGCGACGAGTCGCTGCAACACATCGATCAACTCCTTTTTTAGCTCGCCCGTTAAGATCTCTCCACTGGTGTAACCCTGGAAAAAAAATAAAACATCATTTACACATCACTGCAGTTTTAATTAGAGATCAAGAGCAATCGTAAGTAAAATAAAACTAACTTTTCTGATTTGTTCCAATCGCTCGTCATCCTCTAAGAAAAATCGCAGCCATTGATAAGATATGTCCACCTCACAGTTTCCACCGAGCTGTCTGTGCTCCTCCACAGTAGCCTGACCACCCGAGAATGCATGCTTATTGACCTTGTTTTTGATTTGTTTGGCGGTATCCGTGAGGAATATTGCCGTGTTGCTGTCGCTCGCCGACATTTTCGTCTTGGAACCCTGCAATGCTGGGAAGAAGCTGGAATGCAGCAAGGCCGGTTTAGGGAAACCAAGTTTGGGCGCGACGTCCCTAGTCATGCGAAAATATGGATCTTGATCGATTGCGCACGGTATCAGGCAGTGCACCTTGACGTCCTTGAAGATGAAAGGAAACGAGCCGGAAATGGCCGGCGCCGCTTGCGTCGGCGGAAACGCGATCTTTCCAATCGGATCGCTATCCCCAAATCCAAAAATGCCCTTTACTTGATTGAATGTGACGCATTTTTGTATCCTGATCATGTTTTGATAAAATGCCGAATTGTTTCCTATGTGTTCCAAATTCGAGAAGATAAATGTCTTTTCAGGATTAAAGCCACAGGCAATAATATCTTTTGCATTGGCATAGGCCAGTTTAATAGCATCTTCTATTTTTATATTCTTCCAGATGGCTTTTTCATCATCCGTCAACTGTATAACTAAAGGAACATCGAATACGTCCTGCAACCATTTGCAGAACATGAAAGGTATGAGATGTCCCAGATGCATCGCGTCTGAACTAGGTCCTCTACCTGTGTACAGGTAGAATGGCTTTCCTTGCTCATAAAGGTTCAGAATAGTATTCATATCTCTGTGAGAAAAGAATATGCCTCTTCTGAGAAAGTGATGTGGTCTCTTGCCAGTGATTTTTTCAAATCTAGCTAACAAGTCATCATCTATCTTGGAGCTTCCAAACCTTTCTGTAAAAAAAAAGTAAATAAAAATACATGGCTTCTATAAAAATATATTCAGAGTTTAGAATATATAACTATACTTCATGCACTTGTTAAAAATATAACCTATCCATAAAAAATCAAATATTTATTTCAGATTTAACGTTTTTCATATTTCTTGAGAGTAATTGCTTAATATTATAAAATATATGGTGCAATCGACTTACTAATTAACTTGTCATAATCGATCCCTGAATCATTAGTGCTCGTAACTATCCACGGTGTCACGATGTCCTCATCCTCGGCGACACCATTTAACGCATGTCCTTGAATCCTTGCGTCCTCCGTCGTCATATTTTTCCTGAATCCTTTCTTAGACTATCTAAACGTGATTATACAAAAATTCACGCGAGCAATCTGGTTCATATGCAACACAGCTGGGGATACCCACTCGGGTAGCTCGGTCCCGACTTGAAAAGGTTATGTCGTCATCCCGGCAGGATACAATTTACCTGATGCGCACGCAAATGAATCGCCGCACTATGAAGTTTGGATACCGTTGAATACTGTAATCGAGATGATGCAATCACTGGCATTGTCATCTCATAAAAATCAAATTTACCAAAAAACACACAATTGCATGTTACAACAATCGCGGTTAAACAGAAGAATTCTTATCATTTCTATTATGTTGCATCAATTTGCATCAACATCATGATTGTTGGAAGCGTTTCTTTGTTGAAAATTTTTTGCTTTTCTTCGAGAGCGCAAAAAGCATGATCTCGAAAGATAATAAATCAACAATTACTTTGTAATTGTTTTAATTTTTTTTACAAATGTTCTTTATATCAGATTAAAATTCTGTTTGATCAATGTGTACTTATTGATACGTCATTTCTGACGTCATCTCTTTCGCGGAATAATTACAAGATACTTCTTTGGACGGAACTCTAACAAAATGTACACGTTGACGGATTACGTGTCACGTACTACCGGTGATTTCATCTAATGATAATGTTCTATCGATAGCATGATAATTATGACACGGTACAATATTGAACCTGTTCATTTTAATTGTCCAATTTGTTTTTTTCTTTTCACAGAAATCTCTAAACATGCTACCTCATTTTAACTAAAAAGATACAAAAAAATACAATAAAGAAAAAAAAAGTATTATAAATATATTTAAATATGTCTGCCATATAAAATAAAAAAATCCAAACCTCTGTTATATCTTCAACATTTTTAATTTATATTTATACTTGATTCTGTAAAAGCAATAAGGACACAATAATTAAGAGCAATAATTTATAAAGATATATTTATTAAATAAGATACACATAAAAATAGTTCATAGCTTTAAATATTTTTTCCAATATAACTTTATCTCTCAACTACTTCTAAAGATATTACATTACAACCCAAAAGGCCTTTGCCAACCCAAGGACGTGGAGTTAATGGCAGAATTATAGTATTGGAGCCGCGTTTGATTTTTACATTGACTGTTTTATATCTGCTGTTTTCTACTAATTTTCCAATGTCGGCTAGAGATTTGAAGTTCCGACAATGAATAGAACCAAATTCTAATATGAGATCATCAACTTGAATTCCCTGAAAATTAACAATTTCTCAAGTAAAATAAAATTTGACACATCAAATAAGTATACTAAATTGTAATAATCAAATTCAACCAACTACATTATGAATCATCAAAGCATTAAAATAAAAAGTAACATACTGCATTTTCCGCTGGTGAATCAGGTGAGACTAAATTTACTTTGAGGAAGGGCTCTAACATTTCTGTCTCTTCACTGTGAAGTATATTGGATACAGGCTGTTGTGTTTGGCTTGTTCCCGATAAAGCATGAACTTTGTATAATCCTTCCTCTATTTTCTTCATTAATGCTTTGTGATCATTTGAAAGACCTGATAGCACAATAGTGTTATTCAAATATATACATATAGGCCGGTATTCATAGTCCGTTCTTATATTCAAGATCGTCTTAAGCACGAACTTATATTCACTCTCTTCGTCAGACACAATCTATGTGTGACGAAGAGAGCGAATATAAGTCCGTGTTTAAGACGATTTTGAATATAAGAACGGACTATGAATACCGCCCATAGAACTTGTTATTCTAATATAATATATTTATGTACATATTATCTTGTGCCTCGTATGTCTCACTTGATAAACGTCGATATCTTGTCTTGGATATCCTTCAGCGTCCACCAATAATTCATCCATACCGACATGATTCTACAATAATACCAAAGATATAGAAAACTTTCAAAAATTTGACAGATCATGCTACAAAAATGACGATTGCTATTCTGTGCGACAACAACGTCATCCTTCTCACTATGGTATAAAATCATATACAATACATACGCAGTTTAAGATTTCCTTTAACGTTTTTAGATCAGATTCAATTTTGTCTTTATCCTTCATTAGTTGAAGAACAGCATCCTTAGCTTCTTGCAACTCCATGTCGACCACCATTTTCGTTTTGATAGGGAGGTTACGGAACATACTAACAGGTGCGTATTTATTGTTCCTCAAACCCTGCATCAGTAGAAACTTCAAAAAAATATTATGATATTCGTGACTCTGTGTATATATTTTATGTATTTGCGTAAAAAAGAAAAGAAGCAATATTACATGTCATAAACAATTTCATTACTTATTTTTCAATAAATTCTTTTAACGTTTTAAAATGTATATACATAATTTTTGTGTATTTTTCATTTTTAATTGCGCGCGTCAAAACAAGGTGGCAGCATTGCGCGGGTAATTTCTCACCATTTGCCTTGGACAGCGAGAACCGTGATTTGTCATACTTCGCCGCGAGTACCACGCGATTTTGATACTTTGAAAGTAGCAAATAAAAACGGTTTGTGATATCTGAAATTTGGCGACAGCAAAGCGCGAATGCCCACATCGTTGAGAATTAATTACGTCCAAGTGACTTTTTAATATTGGGTGGAGCGCGACGTGCGTGGCGAATCTTGCCAACTATTTCCGGCGGTACGGCGCCTTCGGCCACAAGGTGACGCAAGGTGACGTTTATCTTTCCAAGTCGGCTGTCTGCCGTATCCCGTGTCTTTAAGGTGTGTTGCTGCTAAAAGAAACACATCGGGAACGAGAAGTGAAATAATTTACGTCAGTCTGATAAGAATTCTGTGTTAGCATACGAGGCTAAACAACTGTCGGACTTTCATCTTCTCGCCGCGGGTCAACGGAGTTGCGAGAGATCGACATTCTCGCTGTCACTGTCGCGTGGCAAACAACTCCTTTTTGGAGTTCTTTCCTTTGGAGTTTTTAAGACATTTCGTGTTCACTTTAACTCGTGTTTTCACGGGGAAGAAAAAATGGGACTCACGATCAGCAGTTTGCTCACCCGGCTCTTCGGTAAGAAGCAGATGCGCATATTGATGGTGGGCCTGGATGCCGCCGGTAAAACTACCATACTCTACAAGTTGAAGCTCGGTGAGATTGTCACCACTATACCTACCATCGGCTTCAATGTTGAGACAGTCGAGTACAGAAACATTTGTTTCACCGTATGGGATGTTGGTGGTCAGGATAAGATCCGGCCACTCTGGAGACACTACTTTCAGAATACTCAAGGCCTCATCTATGTGGTAGACAGTAACGATCGAGAGCGTATTGGTGAAGCGGAACGCGAGCTGGCGAACATGTTGAAAGAGGATGAGCTACGAGATGCGGTATTGCTGGTATTTGCTAACAAACAGGATCTGCCGAATGCCATGTCCGCTGCCGAACTTACAGACAAACTGGGCCTGAATTCGCTACGAGGTCGTCATTGGTACATCCAAAGTACTTGTGCCACTCAGGGACATGGACTGTATGAAGGTCTAGACTGGTTGAGTAATGAGCTGGCTAAAAAGTGATAACACCTCACTATAATTGGTATTCTTAAGGACAGTTTATTCATCTGGTATGGACATAGGAGGCGAAAATCACTCAGCGATTTCCATCTTTGTCAAATTGTATTAATGTAACATGTACAGTTTAATTACTGCAGTCACTGCAATTATAATTACTTACAGAAATTGACATGAAAACGAAGGAAATTAGAGCAATCTGTCAACTTTTTTATCATCTAGATACAGTAAAATTCTTGTGAACCATGTTTTAGAAGTAAAACTTGTTTCATAGAAAAAAAATGAAGACATTAGGACGTGATAGTTATTCTTGCATCATTTATAAGATTATATATGTAAAGGTTGTACATAGTTCTAAGTTCCTTCATATATACTGTTCATCAAATGAATTCTAATTTTGTTCTTTAGCGTACATTGAGTGATAAAGTATCATCAATTGATTTAAATGCGGAGAATTTATTTATTTTTATGTTATTACATGAAAAACTATTGAATGTAAGTTTATTCTTTATATTTTAGTTTACATCTTCCTGCAGTTCATCAGGAATAACATTATGTGATTATATACAAGTGGTTCACTTTCCTGTTTTGGAATAAACAAGTAAATTTTGAGATAAGTACTGCTAACTTATAAGACTTGCAGATAATTATCTGATTATATAATTTTAATACTATCGAAGAAAATAAAGCTTAATTAAGATTCTTGAGATGCAATTTTTCTTTTTAATAAAGATAGACATTTTAAGTGTAAGAAATTTGTTTAGAAAATCATTACCATATAATAAACTCTAAAGATACAAAAGAAATATACAAATTAACCAAGCTTTCTATCTAAAATCAAACTACATTGTATATTATTTTCATTTCCATTAATATCACCAAAATCAAAAGAATGGGTGGAAGCTATGGAAGAAGCAGGCCAGAAGGAATAGCACTCGCGCGCATTTGCTCGCTCATTAAAATTATGTATTGTCATGTTAACTGAAAATGTACAGTTTTATTACAGTACAAAACAGTACAGTAGTGCTACAAGTACTGTATAATGTATAACGTATCAAACAGTTTGTTAATGTATGGTGTTATTCTCTCATATGTACCACAGCAATCTATCCCATCTCTATTTGGAGAAAGATGGCAAATAAATTACAGAAGGAACGCTTTTCTATTTACGAACTTTATGTACACGGTGTCTTAAAATACAGCACAGAAATAGATAATCGTTGAAACGTTAGTGTGCAACGTCGCTATATATAATATATGCATGCGTCCACTTTTATAACTTGTAACAGACTTTGTATTTAGTATCTTATTTTTCATAAAGTTTATTATACAAAAAAATATTTGATCTCATTTATCACGTCAGAGGCGTTTCGAAGCACTACATAGTCAATATAACCGTGTGTAAAAACGTATATATATATCTTTTTTTTTCCTTTTATTTCAATCAATCGTCTCATAATTTACTCAACAGGTATTAATCCTACGGCGAATAATCAGCGCTAGTTCTATCCGTCGTTTTAACACTAAGGATTGACTGACCCTTGGAATAAATAGTACGCATTACGCTCGCATAATTATATTAGATAAACACAACGCAGTGAGGATTATCTCAGTGATGGTACAAACAACAAGAGTTACGTATTTACAACTTTTGTTTCAGCGCAGATATTTGGTTCACTCAAGTTCTCGAGAACGATGGCAACGACCGACGAAAGAGCGTAATTGACTCATTTACGTACCCACGTGTTCTTCGGCGGCGGCGTATTACTCTTGCCCAGCGCTGGAAAATGATTCTCCAGTGTGTGACTAGACATATGCATTCTAAAGTCTGGGCCGTTCTTGAGAATCTGACCGCACGTCGCGCACATCTCCAGCCCTTTCGGCTTGCCGCTTGCTTCTCTCTTGTGCACCTTGAATAGCTCCTGTTGTTTCGCAATGTCTGGCAATAATACCAAAAGCTCGGGGAATACACTTTCGAAAGCGTTGGTCCCCATAACTTTGCGACAGTGCGTGTAATACTCTTCGGCATCACAGGTGCCTCCGCGAAAGAGGCCGCTCACGTAGCGAAACTCCTCAATCTTGTCTTGTTGCACAAGGACCTCGTTGAGTTTCGCCACGAGGCATGTGTTTCGTTTCTGAAAATCTGGCGGTGATACGTATGCGTGGGCAGCGTGTTTGTTGCTGTTGTCCGGCAGAATAGAGTAGCTTTCGCCGGAACTATTTGTGAACGTCAAGCCGTTGCTGCCGTGCAGTCTGTCGGTGTTGTTGTACTTGACGGAGAAACCGGGTGGCGGTAGAGTCGGCGAAGTGAAGCCGGGAGGCGGGTTCGTGAAGCCGGGCGGTCTGCTGCCGCTGGTGCTACCTAGAGCAGGAAAGTCCTCCGTCCGATGGATATTATTATTGGTCGCATTCAAACTGTCTATCTTGAGCTCGCTGCGCTTCCGTTGTTTTTCTCCGTTTAGAAGAACATTGCTGCCGTTCGAAGATTCCGTATTTATGACTGTCACGGTGCTCAAACTTCCGTCTGCGTTGTTCTTGCTCTTCTTCTTGTCCTTCTTGTTCGCATGTTCCCAGTCTTTCGAATTTTGCACAGCCGAACTCTTAGACGTGATGTCACTACTCGTATCGTTATTAGTACCGTGTGTGATTTGCGAACTCTTTTTAGACACGACGTGAGAGTTGTCCAAGTCATCGGTGCACGCCAATTCGACGTCCTTCCGCGCTACATTGGTATTTACATTCGATTTAGAACTACTAGACTCGTTTCCGCTCGAATTATTGCCATTTGAAGCCTGCTTTGCTTTTTTCTTCTTCGTCTTCCCCTTTGTTTGATCCGTCGTCTTCGTATTGTTGCTAGTGCCAGAACTTTGCGAGTTCTGTCCCCATGATGGCACTACTGTGATTACTGATTGTTTTTTTGATTTGGACGATTTGGATAAACTTGGGAAATCCTCGCCAGACTGAATAGGTGGCGGCGACGGTATTGAGGGTGGCGGTGCGACTTTCTTGGATTTTGGCACGTTCGCCGGTGCTGATTTCGAGCATGTCCACTGTAAAACTTCCTTCCACTGAGTCGAATTAGCAGTACTGGTAGACGGTTCGGAACTACCCAAAGCAGGAAATTCGGAATCTATGGACAATTGCGCGGGACGTATTCTGATGTTGGGTCCGGACACTCTTGTGGTAACGGTACCATTAGATTCGTGGTTCACCTGAATGGAAACGTTTGAAGATGTCGAAGTTTTTTGACACTGTGTTATGCCACCGGATCCAGAGGAGTTGCTACTGCTGGAGACACTGAAGTTGACAGTTTTCGATATACTAGGGCCAGCCGACTCTGGACCTAGCGCAGGGAAATTCTCGTCCGTTACAGCGAGCGGTTGATTTCTCACAGTGCTGCGAATAGTTACATTTCCTCTGCTTTTGGCTTGCGTTAAAGTGGGAACAACAGGAGCGACACTACCACCTAATGTAGGAAACTCGTCGGTGCTCTGTACATCCACAGACGGTTGTCTCGTAAAGATGGGCTCGTTGTTGGATGTAAACGAATTGGATCCGCCAGGTATCGAGCCTTGTTGGTAATCCCTAGAACTGTAATCTCTTGTGTTTCTCGAAGTCGACGCACCTAGCATGCCTCTTCTATTCATCCGATTTTCACCGCGCGGCGCCAGGGTGAATTCCAGTTCTAACATTCTCGCCTGCTTAGCGGCAGCTTTACTCAACTGCTTGCCATGTACGCTGGCCTTGTGCGCCTTAAGATCTATATCGGTCCGGAAAACACTCGTGAATTTCTCATCCGCGCACACCCCTTCCTCGCATAAATAGTGCTCCTGTCGAAAATGATCTCTGAGATAGTCGTACGAGCTATAATATTGATGTAAACCATCCGCGTCGCAGAAATGACAGTACAAATGATCACGTCTCAAATGCCGATATAATTCGTCATTGTCCATGTAACGCTGATCACAGAATTCACAGAGTGGATGACCCTTGTGGCTTTTATCGTCAATATCACCCTTTCTCCGATGCGTGGCTAGATTCGATCTTGTGTAACAACGTCTTTCATGCGAAAATATCTGTTTACAAATTAGTGAATTAATTAGTATGATATACTGCAATCAATCATTTGTCATTCATTGGTTGAAAATATTACGTACTCAGTTAATATCTTACCTTCAAATTCTCCACACACAGGTCACAATAATGCAATTCGTGTCGTTGTCGCATATGATCTTTTAAATTATGGAAAGTGCTGAACACTGGCTTCTCCTTACATATCGAGCAAGTATTGATTAACAACTCGGTGAATTTCTCCTGAATGTCAAGATTACTGAAGTAGATGTCATATCGGGTATCTAGTAGATTTGCACTAGTCAAACTATGGAAGGGTTTGATCTCTCTTGTGAACACAACTTTTGGCAGATCCTGACGGCAAATAGGACATTCGTTCTGGCGACAGAGCACTCTCATCCTGGTGCTACACTCGTAACATACAGGATGCTCGCACATGCCAATGCTGTAAATGTCGACATTCTTGTAGCACACCACACAGGTATTATTATTAGAACCATCAGTGTTCCCCGACATTCTTGCTACAAAAATCAAACTCTCTCTTAGTTGATTATTGTACTTTGTTCACTCTCAAGATAAAATATTCACTGTTGAACCTTTCTTCCTCAAAGTACCAATGAACAGATTATTCCTATGCCGATAAATGCTTCAATCAAATATTTTTCGATTACAGGTCTCTCTGCAGCCCTCCGGTTCCTAGAACAAAATATAACGTGAGGATGGAGTGTTAGCAGAAGAGAAAAAAGGCATCATGCATGGCAAGAGATAATTTTGTGCAATCGCAAATTGTCCGCACGTTTAGCCGTCGTGACATACGTATCGGCCGTGATCGACGTCACGCAACGCAATTCTCGAAAATATCCGGTCGTGGCTCGAGACTTCTGAGATTTGTCGGCGACCGAACACGATCCTCCGAAAATAGATAACAGCCGCTCGGCGAAATTGGCAGCGGTTTCAGCAGATGGCAGAATTTCTTACAGTGGACTGCAGATGAGGTTATCGCGGCTCACGATAATTCGGGCCTCACAGAAATCACGAGAGCAGTTTCAGCGTACGAGCGAGCGATCGGTCAAGTATTTCGAATGAAATCTCATTGGCGAGAAAAAATGACTGGTCGAAAAAAAATGATTCGTCGAAAAAGAACCGACCAAATCCTACCTGCCTGCGGCTATGTACCTGCGGTACGTGCCGTGTCACCTTCGCGCGCCAACGATAGGAAGGTCAGAAATTGCCTCGCGCGAACCCGGAAAAGAGAGCATATGTCACCTCTATACGCGTACACATTCGTATTTTCGTTTGCGTCACGAGACAACGGCAGCAGTTGTACCGATCGGTGATACCGAGCAATCGCCACGATATGCTGATGCTGTAAGTATAAGATAATCCTGAAAAAGAAAGAAACATATGATAGGCACGCTGCCTCGATCTAACGTGGCTCTGACGTGGAAGCCGGATGATTACGATTAGGTTATTGATGTGTTCTCTTTTTACCAATATATGAATATATTGAGAATTATTTTAACAACATATGTGATGTTATCATAAGAGTAAAAACGTGCAAGAGGCGCTATCTGCATGACATCTGATATAAACATGATTGATACATCGAGAAGCATTTCATATCTGGCTCCATGTTTGATCGGAATTAACCTTAATAAACTCGAATTTCTTGTTTATACAAGATGCCGTATTTTATACAGGATGCCGTCGTTTCTTTCGTCTAGAGATTTTTTGGACATCATTTTACAACAAACGCCGAGATATTATAATTGCCGAATTGTATTCGTTTGATAACACAAACAATTTATCCTTTAATGTCAAGTAAATCTTACTTCAACATAATTGATAATTTCGTCATAAATATTTATCATTAAATATTAAAAACTTTATATATATATATATATATATATATATATATATATA